CTAAGACTAAACCAGGTCTAAACCAGGTCTAAACTAAGACTAAACCAGGACTAAACCAGGTCTATACCAGGTCTAAAACCAGGTCTAAACCAGATCTAAACCAGATCTAAACCAGGTCTAAACCAGTTCTAAACTAAGACTAAACCAGGACTAAACCAGGTCTATACCAGGTCTAAAACCAGATCTAAACCAGGTCTAAACCAGGTCTAAACTAAGACTAAACCAGGACTAAACCAGGTCTATACCAGGTCTAAAACCAGGTCTAAACCAGATCTAAACCAGGTCTAAACTAAGACTAAACCAGGTCTAAACTAAGACTAAACCAGGACTAAACCAGGTCTATACCAGGTCTAAAACCAGGTCTAAACCAGATCTAAACCACCAGTCTAACCAGGTCTAAAGGTCTAAACCAGGTCTAAACCAGGTCTAAACCAGGTCTAAAACTAAGACTAAACCAGGACTAAACCAGGTCTAATACCAGGTCTAAAACCAGGTCTAAACCAGTCTAAACCAGATCTAAACCAGGTCTAAACCAGGTCTAAACCAGATCTAAACCAGGTCTAAACCAGGTCTAAACCAGGTCTAAACCAGGTCTAAAAGTCTAAATCAGGTCTAAACCAGGTCTAAACTAAGACTAAACCAGGACTAAACCAGTCTATACCAGTCTAAACCACTAAACCAGATCTAAACCAGGTCTAAACCAGATCTAAACCAGGTTAAACTAAACTAAACCAGACTAAACCAGGTCTAAACCAGGTCTAAACCAGTCTAAACTAAGACTAAACCAGGTCTAAACCAAGACTAAACCAGGACTAAATCATGCTGTCCCCTTCATCTTCTATCAATAATATTTTTAATTTGGTTCAGTAAAGTCTGGGCTTTTTATTTTCTTTTATCAGACAAAACTTCTTATTTTATGATTTCCTCGTCTTTGCTTCTCTACAGCAAATCAAGTAATCCAAAGTATTCAGATTACATTACTCACTTAAAGTAATTTAACGGATTACGTTACAAACTACATTTTGGGATGTGTAATCTGTAATCTGTAGGGGATTACATTTTAAAAGTCACCTTCCCAACACTGTTTGTTACGTGGTGAAGCTTCGTTAATGTGTGTATATAATATTCCTGTGACCCTGAAGTGACTTGAGTCTATATTAGTTGAATGAATGCGTTAAAGGAGCTGGGACAGATCTGGGACGCTGCCTCTGTTTGAGTTTTATTAGATTATCGTCACATGACATTTTGAAGTGGAATAATTCATCTAATAATTCATGTTTAACTGGATTTACAGTCAGACGTTTGGGGCGTCTTTAATTTAAAGTTGAATGTAAAGGTGCATTTTTACAGCGAGCAGTAAAATGACAGATCAGACCTGGTGGTGTCTCCGTGGAGATCGGCTTAACTCTTTCCCCGTTGGACGCCGACTAGGAACAACCCAGACATGTATGACCAGAGCTGAACATAGAACATAACTGCATGAAAGAAAACAGACTTCCACGAGTGATTATAAATGATTTTTACACTCATGAACTTAATTGAAACACAGACATATTTGGAAACTCTTCATTTACAGTGTTGGGAAATTTACTTTTAAAATATATTCCCCTACAGATTACAGATTACATACCTCAAAATGTAGTTTGTAACGGAATCCATTAAATTACTTAAGGTGAGTAACGTAATCTGAATACTTTGGATTACTTGATATTGTCATGTTTTTTTTATAAACTACATGAATGTAACAACCACATCCTGAAAAGTCTTGTTTGTTCTCTTCAAATTGGCTGAGCCCAAGTCTCCATGAACAGACTTTGTTTGTTGTAGTGAACATAAGATGTTTTATCTGATAAAGGAAAATAAAAAGTCCAGTCTTTCCTTAATGAAATTAAAAAATATTATTGATAGAGAAATTATTTTTACATGAGATCACTGCTGCCTTAAAGTATGTCCACCTATTACTGTTAGATGTTATATTGTTTAGACCTGGTTTAGTCCTGGTTTAGACCTGGTTTAGACCTGGTTTAGTCCTGGTTTAGTCCTGGTTTAGTCCTGGTTTAGACCTGGTTTATTCCTGGTTTATTCCTGGTTTAGACCTGGTTTATTCCTGGTTTATTCCTGGTTTAGACCTGGTTTATTCCTGGTTTATTCCTGGTTTAGACCTGGTTTAGACCTGGTTTATTCCTGGTTTAGACCTGGTTTAGACCTGGTTTATTCCTGGTTTAGACCTGGTTTATTCCTGGTTTATTCCTGGTTTAGACCTGGTTTATTCCTGGTTTATTCCTGGTTTAGACCTGGTTTAGACCTGGTTTATTCCTGGTTTATTCCTGGTTTAGACCTGGTTTATTCCTGGTTTATTCCTGGTTTAGACCTGGTTTATTCCTGGTTTATTCCTGGTTTAGACCTGGTTTATTCCTGGTTTAGTCCTGGTTTAGACCTGGTTTATTCCTGGTTTAGTCCTGGTTTAGACCTGGTTTAGTCCTGGTTTATTCCTGGTTTATTCCTGGTTTAGACCTGGTTTAGTCCTGGTTTTAGTCCTGGTTTTAGTCCTGGTTTTACCCAAAATGTGAAAACAGGAAAATCCCTCTGTGTAATCCATTAATTTCAACAAAGTAACTGTAATCCAATTCCCACTCACTGAAACAGTAACTGTAACTGAATACAGTTACTCATCATTTGTACTCAGATTACATAACTCCAGTACATGTAATCTGTTACTCCCCAACACTCTTCATTTCTGGATGTTTAAATGTGATTCAACTCATTTACAGGTTTATAACAGCTCACTGAAAATGAGAGTTTACCTGGTCAGGTGCAAAATCGAAAACAAAAAACTACATTCAGCATCTGATATCTGCATGTTCTGAGTACTATATTCATAAAAAAATAAAAAATATACTTTGACAAAGTATTTAAACAGATTTCATATCACCAGATACAGTAAAGCCAAGTGTGCACCTGTTTTTACCTGTTGTTCACTGTGTGCACCTAATTCATTTTTTCCATTTAACTTATTCAACTCATTTATCTTATTATAATATAATAATATAATAATAAAACTCTTCCCCGTCAGTGTGTGTCCAGTATTTGTCATCTTGGTCACTTTCTCATGTGCAGAGCTCCACATAAGCGTTTGTTTCTGTAGTGATTCTGTTATACATCACATCTTGGAAAAAAAAGACTGAAATATTTCAAAGGACTCGTCTGAGCAACATCCAGATTTCGGGACAATTTTGGTTCATAATCGAGTATAAAGCTCAGATAGTTTGTTTGGACATCGCAGGACTCCACACAGACGCATCACAGGCAAGTTTCACTCTCTGAAAGTCCGTCTCTGTCGCTGTTTTACACTTTATAATCAACTTCATCATCACTTTAAAATCTATAAAAGTCACTTTCTAGAAACGTATCCATAAAATACGTTCACTCCTCATTATTTCTAAAACTGTGCGCCGCGATCTTTCCATTGCACGTGTTTCGTGTTGTGTTTTTTCTGGAAGCTACAATCGTCACTACTTCGATTAACTTTGGAAAAAATCTTCGAAAACGTATCCTTGAATCCTATTGGTCAGTCTAATGTGGGTTGTAGTGGCCCCGACCTATCGCAGCCTCTGTTTACATGTGAAAAACCGAGTCACGTCTTTAGTGACACAACGGAGGTGTCAGAAGACGCCATTAATGAAAAAAGGGGGTCGTCAATGTCATCTTCATCCGAGAGTTAAAGCCATGCTAAAGGTTGCCACACTCTATAGAATTTTTTTGATCTTAAAGGTTGTATAGAGGATTTTTTTTAAGGGAAGAGAAATACAGCGACAGTCCTTGTGCGCGTTCAGAATTACTGTTGAAGTTTCCTGTCTAGAAGTAATTCAGCGACCGACGCGTCAGTTTTTAGACCCTTCGTCTGCTTCGGTCGCGCCATCGCTGGACGAGATCTCCAAGAATCACCTCAGTTTGGCTTTGCTCCTTTTCTTCTTCTTTCAGCGACCTCAAAAACGGACTTTCTTTTGCGGCGAACCGGTCGTGGATTCTCGTCCGCCGTCGCGACAAACTTTGTGCGAAATGCGAGGAAGCGACAGTTCGAAAAAGCCTCTAAAGAACCGCTGCGTAAACCACGTAATCCCCGCGCTCCGACGAGTCAGTTATACTAGGGAGTTTGATTGACAACCTAACAGCCAATAGAAAATGAGGGAGCCTCGTTTTCTAATTGGCTGATGTTTATCTGGCCTCAACACGTCCACAGCTGATAGATTTTCGTTCTTTTTTTTTTGGTCATCATAATTACAAAGCTGCTGCGTCTCTGTAATGGTATTTTAATCTTTCACTGACAGTTTGAAACAAAAAAAAAATCCTCCATACAACCTTTAAATGATTTTTTTTTTTTTTTTTGTGCTTTTCAGAAAGATTTTAGCAAATGTACATAAAAGAACAATCAACCTGTGGGTTCTACAAAAAATATATATACCATTTTGACCATCGCTTCTCAAATTTAACCAGTTTTCAGAATCAAATAATACTGTATTTTCCAGATTATTGAGCGCACCTGAATAAAAACCACATCAACAAAACATCGTCGCTGGATTAAAGAGGCAATCGAACTCCGCGAGAAGCAAATCTTGATCGAAACGGGCAAATTCTCGTGTAGTGTGTGGCGGCCCTTAGGAGCATTCCAGGCAAAGCAGTAAAATCTTAACGGAGACGGCAGCTGATGGGTCCAGACAGGTCTTTTTTTTAAGCCACAGTGTGTAATTTTTTAACCAAAACACCATTCCATTTTGTTTTTAACGCACTGAAAAACTAAAAAAACGAGTCCTTACAGGTGCCTCTAGAACATTTATAGACTCTACTTTAACAATAACAAACTATTTTGATAATTGACACAGCGTCTTCCTTCTGTCTGTTGTTTCATGGTAACAAAGGAGTTTTTTGGTATTTATTGGGCGAAATCTTGTCCAAACTTGTCTCTGATGCTTTTATTTATATGTGTTGTGTTGTGTTTGCAGGTGCGGGGCTCAGGACTGTGGAGACTGGCAGAGCACGAAGGACAGCGGACACGGGGAGAGCGAGCCCGGGGACGGAGACATGGGCTGGGACACCGGACCAGACTGTGCCCTGGACCCTCAGCTGGAGGAGGGGCTCACCAACCTCATCAACAACACCGGTACGGAACTGATATGTACTTTGATACTTTGATCCTAAAGGGGCCGGATCAGAAAACTCACAACATATAAACCTCAAAAATAACAATAAGTTCAAATATTTGTGCAGAGAAACACAAATCTATTACAGAAATCTTTTTTAATTGATGAAACTTTCTTTTACAAATATTATAATATTATAAACAACCTGAAACTTTAAGAAAAATACAATTTCAACACAATGTTTTAACATGAACTTGTATGTAAATAGGAATAAGTCAATTTTTCTTGGAAAATCCTGCACTCACATCTGAAAATCATGTCACACGCATCTGATTCCCTTTGTACGGAAGCCCTGAGAGGCAAGAGAAAAAAAAAAAAAAAAAAAAAAAAGAGGCAGGTCATTTGGGCTCTATTTTCTAAGTGTTTTTTTTTTTTTTTCACCAACTCAAAAAAAAAAAAAAAAGAAAAAAATTTCCTACTTTTTTATTTTTTTTTTTTCTAAAAAAAAAAAAATTTCCCCACAATTTATTATTATTTTTTTCTTGTGTTTTTTTTCACTCAGAGCTTAAGTGTTTTCCTGGTGTATTCCTATAAGCTCCAATAGAGAAACTAGAGCCCAAATGACCTGCCTCTTTTTTTTCTCTCTTGCCTCTCAGGGCTTCCGTACTTTGGCATCTATGGAGTTCACAAACAAATTTCTCGAGCCATTTTCCGCTGTTAGGATCCAACAGCCACACAATTACGATGTCTAAATCCCAAAACTAAAATATGACAATATCAGAACCAGAAACAAAAGTGATATGGTTCAAAAGACTTGAAAAGATCGACTTTGTCAACAGACACGTCCCACTGGGAAAACAAACATGGAGGTTTGATGCTCAGTTTTTCAGAAGATCCTTCCCAGTAAGAAATGCATGTGCGATGACCGGAAGTCCGAAATTCGTGACGCATTTATATAAGTAATTTGGTGTGAATAAACGATGGATTAGTGTGGTCATGAAATGTGACATTGTAAATAGTTCTTATTGCTCTTTTTTGAAGTGTCATCAATCGTTCTATTGCGGTTTTATGATTACTGCCCTAAATGTTCCACAGTGTGACATTAAACACTTTTACTTTACATTTATTCAATTAGAGTTGGTCAAAAATACCTCAAAAAACAACATTCTGTCTGTGATCTGACCTGGAACTTGGTCTGGTTTGGTTTCAGTGAAGACCAAAGCAGTAACTAATCTCCATGGAGAAAAACATCTGACAAACCCTTCACCAGAAAAGTTACGCAATGCAGCTTTATCTTTTTGGCTACTCCACCCGACTGTGCTTCCGTGACGTTGTGTACAGAGCAATAAGATAAATAAAACTAAATAAAAACCCCAAATGTCTCCTCCAATCCAAACCCACGTCTCAAAACGGCTCATCCCCTCCACATGATTACACACCTTTACCCATAATTCACTGCAGGAATGTTAAATACAGACTGTCTCCTCGGCTCACTCAGGCAGGAGGAGGTTGCGGGTTAGACTCCTGATCTGAGTGCAGCTCTAAAGGTCCCACATTATGCAAAATTGACTCTTGTGAGCTTTTAGTCCTGTCATAATAATACAATTCACGCACGTTTGAGTAAATCTGCATTATTAGTCTGTCTGCAGCTCCAAAAATTCCACCTCGTGATGTCATGAAGAGGTAGTTTTCAAGTTAACAGCTCATTTTACCAAAACTCTAAACACACTGAGAATTCTGTCCAAAAGTCTGACATGATTTACACAGAAGGAGGTAATCATTTCTGCGCACATAAGCCTGAGTATCTCTGAGTCTGATTCATCGCTCGGTGAAAAGAAGTAACTGGAGCTGTTCGTACTTGGGGCCTGCGGCGGGTGAATCATCGGCTCTCGGCTCAGCGTGTCGGAGAAAACAAAGACCCGCGCTCCGTGTCATCTGCTGTAGAGTCCAGCGTGAGCCCGAGGGCCACGGAGACACAAAACCAGAACATACCAGAGCCACAATGGAGCCTAGATTACACGACTCTCTGATCTGTGTTATAATTTTGTTTCCTTATCACTAAGCAGTGGTGGAGCGTCAGCAAGTCCTTCTCTGCTGGCCTAAAAAAAATATCTGAATCACAAACTGATGTTAATTATATTATTATTAAATAATTCCAAATGGTCTGTCCTCTTCCTTTCAGAGTTTTTCTGATGCTTGTGCTGCTTCCACACATGGATTTTCATATTAAAGCATTTGACCAATCACATTTCAGCCGTCACTTGTTGCCGGGCAGAGTCAAAGTCAAAGAAGTCTGAGGCCTTCACAATCCGTTCTGCAGGAACTTCGAACACAAAATAAATGTCCATGGAACTGCTGCTTCAACCAATCAGATTTTGAGTTGGTGTCGCCAGGACCTTTAACAGCGAACGACAACGACACCGGATTCAGACTCATGCTTAAACAGAGAGAGAACCAGGCAAAACGGCAAACTGCATCTGTAGCGGAACCAGGTCTAAACCAGGACCACACCAGGACTAATCTTGGACTTGAGAAAGAGAGCGAGAGAGCAAAAAAGAGAGAACCCCCTCTGAGCCCCGTGTGGCGTGTGGCAATGGCCCTGGCCTGGTCCTTTCGTCTGCGGTCACCCGAAGTTTTTTTTAAATTTTTCCCCCTCCGTCATGAGAAATGTGCTTTTTTTCTTGGCACAAACTTGAAAAAATGATGATATGATGTTAAAAACTGAGCTGACAAACTGACAAAACAATTCAAAAACTGCTCACTGGTGTTGTCGAGTGTGATCATGTTTCATTACGGCTGCTGCTGTCGGCAATAAACTTCTTACCCCAGCGTGGTTGAAGTTTGTCTATTAAAAGTTCACAAATGCGTCTGTGTTTGACACGACGTGAGTTTGTTAAATGTGCAGAGGTAAATCCCACTGCGAAACCAGTAAGAGAATGAAACTCCAGTTAGAAACTTCAAGAAACAGGTTTATAAATCCTACCCACTTTCTTCATTTTCTTCAGTACAGTTTGCTTGGTTTATTTTATGTCTAAATGAACATTAATCAGATAAATTGGAGATAGATTTATAAAGACATTGATATATATGTGTCAGAATAACTGCAAAATACAGATGAATGTCAAAAATTACAAAGATGGTGTCGATTTGGTCTCGATGGGCTGTGTTCTTGGTCTTGTCTCGGGCTCGACCCTCAGTGGTCTTGGTCTTGTCCTGGTCTTGGGACCCTGTGGTCTCGGACTGGTCTTGGTCTCGACTAGCGCAGTCTTGGTTATAACACTACTGCTCAGTGTGTGAGCCAAGTAGCCACAAGAGCAGCCAGCCACCCTGTTGCCATGAAAGAAAACGTGTGAATGAGCTCACACTTCAGTTTCATCGCCGCATCACCTCACCGCCGAGCGCTGCTACAAAACCAGGCACTTTATTTCCTCTTTTAATTCCTCTGGAGTCATTGGCTCCCAAAGCTAAAAACAAGCTGCCTCTGTGTTCACTAACTCAACCTGGCAGCCTCGGTTGTCATAACAGCGGCGCCTTCGTCTCCCCGCGCACTCGGCGTCACATTAATCACACTCGGCGAGCGCGCGGCCCAGCTGAGGCACAGATGGGCTGCGGGCGAACGCGTTAGCATCCGTCAATAACTGATCAAACAGCTCGCAGCGTGAGGGCCCCGCGCCACCGGAGCCTGTTCGCGCCGCGCTAATGTTGATCCAGCTAATTGTGGGAAAAGAAAAGCGTACGGGCACTTTGAATCGACGGCGCCCCCCCTGGAGAGACGCGGGAATACATTATCAGCTACAAAGACCTGCTTATGTCGCCGCGGCGGGAGGCGGGGTTTAGAGACACGACTGAAAACTGAGGAGAAATTAATGTTGCCGTGGCGATTAATAATTTCAAATTAAATATTATAGGAGAAGGGAAGAGTGTCGGAGAAGGGAGGAAGAAGACAAACTGGACAGGGACACGAACGTATTTACGTCGACCGGAAGAAAACGCACACTTCAGCTGCTGCCGGCTTTTCTGTCGTCTCAGTTTGTGGTTACGCCACCGACACAAACACCATCCAAACTTTTTCTCGCAGTGGTTCCGATGATAATTGCGCAGCAGCTGGAGAATTGTCTCATCACACTTTACGTCTCAGCTGAGGAGGAAAAAGGGAAGAGTGTCGGAGAAGGAGGAAGAAGACGAACTGAGTCAACGGCTGCTCTACCTCAGCCCACTCCCACATCCCGCTCACAAATACAAAGAGACGTGGATGAAAGTCCGAAGCCAGGACTTATGGAGCCAGATCGTCGGGATCGCGTCAGAAGGGCGACACAACGAGCATGAACTGAACAACCGGGATTATTTTTAAGAAGAATAAACGTTTACATCGGGGGTGTCAAACATACGGTCCGGGAGCCACATCCTTCCCTCCAAGACCTTTAATCTGGCCCTCGGCTGATTTTCTACTAAAATATTTAAATTATATTTTGTATTAAAATCTTGTTAATTTTCTGCAGTGCTTATCATATCAGCGTCTCTGTACGTGGCCCCTCCCACCAGAGCAGCACAAATGAAGACTTGTCTCTTTCCAAACGCTCTTAAAGGACGATCGTTTTGACTGTTGACCGTGACACCCTCATCAGAAAAATGTCACACACACAGAGGCACTGGAGACGCTGCGATGATAAACACAGCAGAAAATTAACAATATTTTAATAGAAAATATAATTAAAATACTTTAGTAGAAAATCAGCCAAGGGCCAGATTAAAGGTCTTGCAGGACTGTATGTTTGACACCCCTGATTTACACAGTCAAAGTTTTCCTTTTTGGTTCTTCCTGTGGATCAATCCTGCCCATCGCCTTCACCTTTCACTATTTTTCAATTCCGTTGGGAAGAGAAACAGTTTGAACGGAGGTTTGCATCACACACATCTGATTCACTTTTTCATCTATGGAGTTCGCAAACGTCCAAAGCCCGTTTTCCGCAGTTAAGACGTCCAACAACCGCACAATTATGATAAATCCCGTAACAAAAATTTGACGATATCAGAACCAGAAACAAAAGTGATATGGTTCAAAAGACTTGAAAAGATCGGCTTTGACAATAGACACGTCCCACTGGGAAAACAAACATGATGCCCACTTTTTTAGAGTGCCGTTGCATTGTGTGATGACCGAAAGTCCAAAATCTGTGTGCATGTATTTTCCAGAGCGACTTACAGTCTGAAAAACAGGGTAATATTATTTGAAGCTTGGTTTTTAAATAAAACAGATTAGTGTTTGAACTCAAAGGCTTTAATTTATTCTATCGTCTGCTTTCTGAACATTTGGAGACCATTTTGATTTGAAACAAGACATTTTTTAAACGGTAAAAAAATATTTTGCATACGTGAGTTTTCGCATCTCCTCTGGACCGAGTGTGAAGGCGGGAAACACTTCCTGATAAAACTTCCACATCACTTCCCGTCCCCAAGTGTGACTTCCTGTAGACGGTCGTCGGGAGAGATTCTTGAACCAAGTCAGAGATCCAGAAAGATTAGCTGCAGTTTACGGGGCGGACGATCGGGAGGTGACGACGGCCGCTTCCTGAAGAGGGCGACATAGAGGAAGGGCTTATCAAAATGGGTCAGAGGTCACTCGGGCAAACGGTTTAACACATGGGCGGAATTTGAAAACGCCCTGAGTCTGTGTGGAGATCTGGAAGCAACGACTAAAAATATGACCAAACAAAACTATAAACAGCAGAGGAACATTGACAAATTTAAGGACTGCATCTACTTTCACAAAACGTTACAAGCACAGCGTCTCCATTCTCTTTCCTCGCTTCCTTCTCGTCGTTTCCTCTCCTCAGTTTTTCATTTTTCAATCAATCAAATGTGTCAAATTGAGTGGTGTCCCAAAGAAAACTACAGAACGAAGAGAAAACAAAACACGACGGAGGCTTCAGGAGCAGACATCAACAAACGAAATTAAACTTTATTGGTCTCAGTGAGGAGTTAATACCGTATTTTTTGGACTATAACTCACACTTTTTTCATAGTTTGGGTGGTTCCTGCGACTTATAACTTATATATTCAAATATATAATTTCACATGTTAGAGGCACTCTGATTTGCGGGGTGTTTATTAATCCATGTTCTTTGTTGTGGTTTCAGATGACGTCTTCTCCGAGGTTCCAGATCCTGCCTGGATGGCCCGACTCTCCCTGCCTCTCTCCAGCGACTACCACGAAAACGTTTTTGTCCCCAACGGGCCGCCGTCCACAGACAGCGAGCTCCTCCCCCCGGACCGACTGGACTCCTCCTCGTCCTTCTCCACCTTCGGTAAGTCCAGTAAAAATACAGTGATTTCACGCAAGATCTTTGGGTTGGACTAAATCAGCGGTCTTCATAGTCTTCAAAAGTACAACCTCGGATAATTTAAAGGTTGTATGGAGGATTTTTTTTGTTTGTTTATTTCAAATTGTCAATGAAAGTTCAAAATAGAATTACAGAGATGCAGCAGCCTTGTAATTATGATGACCAAAAAAAAAAAAAAAAAAGAATGAAAATCCAAAAACTGTGGACGTGGTCGGGCCTGATAAACATCAACCAATAGATAACAAGGCTACCTCTTTATCTATTGGCTGTTGGGTTGTTAATCAAACTTCCTACGTTTCTAGCATCACTGACTCGCCGGTGCGCTGGAATTACGTGGTTTACATTCGCCTCGCACGCACTGATGCCGTTTACTCAACCAATACATCGGTTCTTAGCATCTTTTTTGAACTGTAGCTTCCTCTCAGTTTGCACAAAGTTTGTTGCGATGGCGGACAAGAATTCACGACCAGTTCATCACAAAAGAAAGTCTGTTTCTGACATCGCGGAAAGAAGAGGAGAAGGGGAAAAGGAGGGAAACACAACATTTGAAAAAGGACAAACAGTCGCTGGTAGGGATGGGCATGATTAATCGATAATTGATCATTAAGAATTTCATCGATTACGTTAATTTTAATCGACAAACCGAATGTAGGTTTCTTGTGTAGCACACAAGAGCTTTTTTTTTCTTCGCTTAGTTTATGCAAATGAGCCATGTGGTTTTAAGATTTGTTTCTGTGAGACTTGCTCATTAAACACATTATAATGTCAAACAGGCTGATGTGGCTCTAGAGTCGTTAAGGTTTATATGTCGTAAAGTTGAATTTATTTATGCAGATTAGTGCAGATAGTAATAATAATGATGATAAATTTTAATATAAAAACGTTAATGATTAATTGATAATCGATCGTTAATTCTCCCGATTATCGATTAAGAAAATTTAATCGAATGCCCGTCCCTAGTCGCTGCATTTCTCTTTCCTTGGAAAATCTTCTATACAACCTTTAAGGCTTTCCAAGTACCATCAGACCTAAACCCGGACTATATCAGGTCTAAGTTAAGGGCTGGTCTAAAATGAGACCAAGTTCTAGATAAATAAGGATTAAAATACATTCACATACCACTACAGGCAGTTTGAGAAACACTAGACTAGGCTGGTTGAGGTCTTCCATTAGTCCTGGTTTAGGTCTTTATTTTGAGGCCTTTATTGTTTTTTTCAAATTGGGGTCAGACATCCCCCAGGAAGCTCCAAAATGCTCTAAAACGCCAAAAATGGTGTCATTCGTTTGTGCTTCGTTTGTGCTGTGTTGTGCTGTGACAATTTTCATTTGTGCAAGTATATTTCTAAAATTATGAATTATTATTTTGGAGTTTTGCCGCACAAAACTAGTGAAGAGAAACGATCTGAGGCTGTGGAAAAGTCTGTATCAGACTTTAGTAACTTTACTTTTGATTCATATTTTATATAATGATACAGACTTTTCCACAGCCTGAGATTGTTTATCTTCACTAGTTTTGCGGAATTTGTGGAAATGACATCATATAATTTCCACAAAAATAAAACTGTTAATATTTATAAAACAAACAAAACATTTTGCAGCACACAACAGCACAAATGAAGCACAAACAAATTAATCAATTTTGGGTCGTTTTAAAGCAGTTTGAAGCTTCCTGTTGGGCTCGCTGATCCCAATTTGACCTAGAAAAGAATTGTTAATGTCTCAAAAACTAAAACAGCACAAATTAAACTTTTTGCAGAACAAAACGGCACAAATGATTGATGTAGTTTTTGTGTAGGTTTGGGTTTCATGGGCGGCCAACTTCACGGAGGTGACGACACAGTGCAAGAAAAATATCTGACGAAGGCTTTTCTTTTTTTTTTTTTTTGCTTTAAAAACTAATAAAACGTTTTGGACATCGGCCATCTGATTGTGCTGTACATTTTTTTCACTTTTATTTTGCTGTTCCTTGCATCTATAAGAACTTTGGTGTGTGTTTTCTATTTCGTTTGACCTCACTGAAAACAGACCTGAAGTTATGTTTTGCGTCATTCAGCGTGATTGAGGATTCATCGTTTTCTATTTAAGACAAGAACTCAGCCTAAATGTGCAGGGTTTGTGTGTTAAACATGTGAATGAAACAAAACACAACTCCAGGTCTGTTTTTGAAGAGGAAGCAACATTATAACATAAGAAAATAGTGTAATACAGGCCTGTTAATCCTTGACCCGCCTTCTCCTCCTGCAGGTAAATCTCCGGACAGGGAGGAGCCGGTGAACGGGGCGCTGCTCTCAGAGGTCAGCTCCCTGTTTGAGATGCTCCTGACGCAGAAGGGAGGCTCCAGGCTGGGCCCCCCCCCGGACGTGCTGTACCGCCTGTCCAACGCGTACCGCCAGAGCAGCCACAAGAGGGCAGCGCCGCACCCCTGAGCGCTACACTGGAACGGACCGTACACTGTATAAAGACGAGGACCGAGGGAGTGTGACGTCACCCGCAGCGTTTGGCTCCAGTCAAATGAAGCTCATCGAGGCTTGCGAATAGGAGCAAATTTGAAGACGATTTCCAAATTGGGAATAGAAATTTAGGCTACGTTCAGACTGCAGCTTGAAGTGAACCAAATCTGATTTTTTTGCCCCTATGCTCCTGTGTCTGAACTTTTAATGACATTCTCCAGCGACGAGGTCAGGAATCGGAATACACTAGACGGTTTATAAGAACCCCGGAAGTTGTAGCTCGTGCACCGGCCAATCAGCGAAGAGCTGTGAAGCCGTGACGTCGAACTCGTGGCGTCTGTCTGGGTCCCTTTTGTGAAACAGCACAACAGTAAACAAAGCGTCGAGATGGATGTAGACGAAGACAGACGTTCTGTGTTGGCGACGATTCCCGAGATCGAGGATTTAAAGCTGGAATAAAGAGAATGTTTGGTGAATTTTATCAAGGGGAAAGACGTTATTGTTCTTCTTCCTACGGGATTTGGAGCTTTACATACGTCACAACCAAACAGCAGCGATTGGTTAAATTAAAAAAAGGGTAACACTTTATAATAACTACACATTATTTAGCCTTAATAAAGCATGAATAAAGACTTAATTTATACTGAACAAAGACTTAATTAATAATGATTCACGCTTAGTAAATGCTTAATAAAGGATAATTAGTCTTCACTTTAGAAAAGCTCTCAAAAAGACTTAACTAACAGATAACAGCTGCCTGAATTATCATTGCATTGTATTATTAGTAAATCATTCTCTCATAGCTTATTAATCATTAATAAATGCACAAATGGTTAGTCCATGAGTAATTAAGTATGAAGTAATTATGAGTAACTATTTACAGCACAGGCAAATTAAGTGCAAGTGCCAATTAAGGTAGTAATTAAGTAGTTACTAAGTGTGAATCATTATTAATTAAGTCTTTATTCATTATTAATTAAGCCTTTGTTCATGCTTTATTAAGGCTAAATAAGGTGTAGTTATTATAAAGTGTGACCAAAAAAAGTACCCGCCTACCGTCGAGTGAACGAATCCTAAAGCTGCGAGGTCAGACGGTTTCCACAAAGTGAATCAGGCTAAGCCACTTGGATATGTGCTCCTAAAACCGATACATATCCGATCTTTTGACATGTGACTTCAGTCTGAACGGTCAGGTCACATTCATCCCACCTACACGTCAGGCTCAGAGTCCAGAACCGGGTGTTTTTTGAAACAATTGCCAAAGAAATCAGAGCGCGGCTACAGACGGTCCTGACTCCAACGTCAACGAAAAATAAAGAACCTGCGACACAAACGAAGCGGCCGTGGACGTGGAACCCGAACCGTATTTTGGGAGACGAGCCCGGCGTTTAGGCGGTCGTTCTGTCCTCCAATGCGCATGTGGGACACTTTTGCGGGACATTTAAAGTTAAAGTGACATTTTAACGACCTCGCAAAAAAAATCTGATTTAAAAAAAATATCAGATTTGAGCGTTAAGCCCCGCAGTCTGAACGTAGCCTTATTTACGGACCAAAATAGTTGAAGAAACAAAACAAAAATCATGTAGAGCAGGTTAATACGAATATTTTAAAGGTGCTTTGTGTATTTTTGAGCTGTAAATCCACCTGTAATTGAATAAATGTAAACTAGGGCTCCACCAGAAAAGTAACACAATGCACCTTTGAGAGCAAAATTACGAGAGAGGAGATGATTTTTCAATGTCAAGTCAATCGGAGCCAGAGTCGATGGAGCCGGAAGCGCGCCCGTGTTCACTTCCTGTCCGTTTATATATTTATACAGTTTATGGAACAGACACTCCAGGGATGTTAAAGACATTATCAGACCAAGAATGTACAGATATTTGTATAGAAGATGTTATAATGTTGTGGACTGAGCTTCTGAACTGAGAGGAAATACTTAGAGACACAAAATGGCAAAAACAAAACTTAAAATAGCACACTGCGGAACTTTTGTGAATGAACGCCACCTGCTTGTTGCCATGGAGATGTTACAGCTTTGCCCCTGAATCAGAAATCAGTAAAAAAAAACCATTATTGCCGTTTTCAGTGAACAAAATTCGCATACTAGGAAAGGACCGCAGTACGGCATTAAACTGATCTATCTCCGTATAAAGACTCGCAAAGTTACAAGTCAGATCTGTGGAGAGGCGAGCTTGCAAACACTAAGTTAGTATGTTTTTCAAAGCATTTTTTTATTTAAAAGCACTAAAAAGTAAAAAACCCACAATGAAATCTGGCTAGATTTTTAAAAACTAAATTAAAGTATTAACAAAAACAAAGAAACAAAAACAATAATAACAATAATTGCACACAGACAATTATCACTCATTATAATAAGGTGTAAACTTCTAAATATTCATATAACATTCAGTCACAGTGAAAATTACTTTTCAAAAACTCTACTAAGGCTCTCCTGTACGGTGATCCATCAAAGCCTGATGAAAAATTAAGTTTCAGATCACCTCGATTAGAACCCTGCATTAGGTTTTAGCTCCAAAAGATGATTTAGGAAGAAATTTGGATGAAAAAGGAGATGTTTTATAGGTTGCTCAAGCTGCGTCAAGTCTCTGCATGAAGTTTTGAAGCTCCTGCTGATTATTTGGTTCTTTATGAAGCTGTGACAGTCTGAAAATTCAGTCGTGAAAGCAGCACCTTAACAGTTTTGGGCCGACGTGTTTGGTCCTTGAGTGAAGAAACTCCAATGTGACAGAAGAAAAGAAGAAGCTGATGGTTCAGAATATTATGGAAAAGGAAGGTTCAGAGGTTCCATCAAAGCGACGTGACGCTCTTAATCAAGAAGATTATGAAGGAAGCGGATCAGGGATTTTGTCTCCACCAGCACGATGAGTTTCTTCAAAGCTCTTGATCTGCCAAAAACATTTTTAATAAGGGTCTCCAGTAGGGTGGTCCATCAAAACCTGGGAAAAAATAAAGTTTCAGATCACCTCGATTAGAACCCTGCATTAGGTTTTAGCTCCAAAAGATGATTTAGGAAGAAATTTGGATGAAAAAGGAGATGTTTTAGAGGTTGCTCAAGTTGCGTGAAGTTTCTGCATGAAGTTTTGAGGCTCCTGCAGATGATTTGGTTATTTAAGAAGCTTCACAGTCTGAAAATTCAGTTGTGAAAGAAGCAGAACCTCAACAGTTTTGGGACGACGTGTTTGGTACTTGAGTGAAGAAATGTTTGGCCTGGTGCTCTTCAACTCCAGTGTGACTGAAGAACAGAAGAAGCTGATGGTTCAGAATGTTATGGTTCAGAGGTTCCACCAAAGCGACGTGACGCCTTTAATCAAGAAGATTATGAAGGGAAGCAGATCAGGGATTTTGTCTCCACCAACACGAGGCGTTTCTTCTAAGTTCTTGATCTTCCAAAAACATTTTTTATAATTAGAATTAGAAGGTGATAAAACTGTGTGTTCCAGGAAAGTTGTAAATGATGTTGCTGAAAGGAGGTGAAGTTTATTCAAGATTTTAACTGTTGCCGAAAGAATGAAGATCAGAAACAGTCAAAGAGCACAGACACAGCTTTTGTGATGCCAACAAAGCCACAGTGGAGCTGGACTTTCTGAGCAACTTGTATGGACTTTCTAAGTAATTTATCTGCCAGTTTTAGTTTGTGTTTGCAGAATAAAATTTGGCCTTATTTATTTGGTTCTATGTTACAGTTTAGGCAAAAGGTTTAGGGCAATTTTTAAGTGTCTTGAGCAACCGCTAAATATTCATTCAGTTGCATAAAATTTGGACCCAAATATTTTGGCCAGATTTGGAACCAAATGCAGGGTTTCAATCTGGAGAATCAAAAAAAAAAAAAAAAAGTCTCCAGATGTCCTCAAAGTTTTCAGCTTTTCCTCATGAAATTGTTAGGCGTGTTCTATCAGAGAAATAAAGACTGGAATCGATCAATTTAAATCACAAAAATTTTATTCCCTATTCAATACAATTTTAATACAGAGCTCTGGGTCAAATCACTGTCCCTGATGGCCTCCAGCTACACAGGACTTACATCAGGAGGTCTGAACGCCTGAGTTTTCCTCCACCCAGAAATATAAAACAACAACATGAATATGCAAATTTATGTTAAACAGGTCCATTCCTTGGATCCTCCCTGAATCATCTCCATTTACGCACAACCTTCCCAGCAGTATCTTTGAACATGTACGTCAGAATTCAGTGGTTAAACATCAACTCATTATGTGATTTCATTAAAAATATTTAAACAAATATATAATTTCAGTATTTAAAGGTTGTATAGAGGATTTTTTTAAGGGAAGAGAAATACAGCGACAGTCCTTGTGCGCGTTCAGAATCACTGTTGAAGTTTCCTGTCTGGAAGTAATTCAGCGACCGACGCGTCAGTTTTTAGACCCTTCGTCTGCTTCGGTCGCGCCATCGCTGGACGAGATCTCCAAGAATCACCTCAGTTTGGCTTTGCTACTTTTCCACTTCTCTTTTTCTTTCAGCGACCTCAAAAACGGACTTTCTTTTGCGGCGAACCGGTCGTGGATTCTCGTCCGCCGTCGCGACAAACTTTGTACGAAATGCGAGGAAGCGACAGTTCGAAAATGCCTCTAAGATCCGCTGCGTAAACCACGTAATCCCCGCGCTCCGACGAGTCAGTTACACTAGGGAGTTTGATTGACAACCTAACAGCCAATAGAAAATGAGGGAGCCTCGTTTTCTATTGGCCGATGTTTATCTGGCCTCACTACGTCCACAGTTGATAGATTTTCGGTCTTTTTTTTTTTGGTCATCATAATTACAAAGCTGCTGCGTCTCTGTAATGGTATTTTAATCTTTCACTGACAGTTTGAAACTAAAAAAAATCCTCCATACAACCTTTAATAATTGCATGTGGTACACTCACAGCAACAACATGAGGAATCTTCACACCAACTATAGTGGATTTGGGCTCGATAGAGGTTTTAAAGTCACATTGTGGAATATTTTAGGCAAAGCAATAACATCTCCATGAGGCCAAGTTACAGGTTTGACCAAA